GTGTGTGTGTGTGTGTGTGTGTGTGTGTGTGTGTGTGTGTGTGTGTGTTCATTGTGCTAGGAAGCACTAAGGAGATGCTCTTGGCTGGCTTGATGGGGTGAGCAGCCATGTTGAGGAAGCCCATGGGAAGGAACTATGGGCAGCCGCTAGAACCACTGCTGTCCTCAAGGACCTGTAGGTTGCCTCGAAACCTGAAGGCTTCCTTCAGCCAACATACAGCTAAAGGGTATGGCCCTCAGTTATACAGCCACAGGAAACAAAAGAAAACAAATTCTGCCAAGAACATGAATAATCTTGGGAGCAGATTTTCCCTAATTGAGCAGCAGGATGAGAACCCAAATGGCCAAATGCTTTGATCACAGTCCTGGTAAGACCCTGAGCAGAGGACACAACTAAGCTGTTCCAGGATCCTTGGAAACTCTGAGATAACAAATGTATGTTGTTTTAAGTAACTAAGTTTGTGGGAACTTTTTATGTAGCAATATAAATGAATACAATATATAAAAACACGGTGTGTTATATTTTAACGTTCAATCAAAATAATTCATTTTGCAGCATTTAAAGAGTATGGGTCAATTTTAAAAGTCTTTAATATTTCTTAGTTGCATTTCTGACAGTGGTTTTTAACATGTTCTTGTGCTAATTTTCTTGGGTGATTTACCAGTACGTGTATTATAATGTCAATCTATTGAAAAAAACAATCATCATAAATTGTAATTTGCTGCTTCTCTTAAGAAAGAGTAGCACAAAACAATCCTGCATTAATTTTTTTTAATAGGGAGGATGAATATTAAAGATATACATCTCACCATGAAAAAAGTGTATAAAGCCAGTATTATTGGTATAAAGTTCACATCAACTGTTCAAAAAAATGATGTCCTTAATTACCTGTGAGTTAATCTTTTTTTTAAAAAAAAAGAAGAAACTGATGGGAATTCCACTAAGCAACATGTTCAATTTCTAAAGCTCTTAATTAAAACTCAATATCATATACCAAGTATATTCTTAGAAAAATAAATCTGGATTATCACCATTCCGTTTCAAGTTAAGCAGATCAGAGGCTGAGGCCAAGTGTATGAGTCTCCATCCAAAAAGAGACATTGGAGGCTAAAAATGTCAGCATTCTGCACTTTGAGTCAAGCAGGCTTGTCTCCTCAGCAAACCACAGAGCAAATGGACTTGAATGATGCCTGTGGAATCTATAGGTCCCACAGCAAAGGGTGGAGGGCTGAACCAGGGATCCATGTACTGTTCTCAATTTTCAAGCAGGAAGGCATAAATGACCTTTGTAAACATCAGGGCTTCCCCTAATTTTGCTTCTCTATCATTCAATGGAAGCTTGTATGGACTCAGGTTCCCAGTGGGCAGTGTTCCATTTTTGCACAATTCCACACAACACAGGAAGGTGATAAGGAGATATACTCAGTGGTTTTCTGTAGGATCAAGGCTGGTAGCACTTTCTTGATGTTTCTCAAAAGTGGGACAAGAAAAGGACCCAAGGATGGGGGTGTCTATTTTTGCATCAGGCACAGGGTTAGTTATCTTTACGTATACTGTATCAATTTCTTTACAAGTCCTAAAGCATGTAAATATGGTACTGATGATAGTTCACAGTTACTGAGTGCTCACAGGGTACCTGTGCTAAGTGCTTTAATCAATACCTTACTTAATCCTTAACATAACTCTGGAACAGGCACTATAACTATACTCATGGTATGGGTAAGGAACTGGAGGCTTCCAGAGGTTAATTGGTAAGTTGAAGTGGAAACTCCTCTACTTTTAAATAGACCTTGTGTTTTAGAGCAGTTTTAGATTCACAGCAAAACTGAGAAGAAGGTACAGCGATTCCTCATACACTCTCTCCCCCTACTTATACATAGCCCCCTCCATTATAAACATCCTCCACCAGAGTGGTACATTTGTTAATAATGAACCTACATTGACACATCATTATCACCAAAAGTCCATAGTTTACATTAGGGGTCACTCTTGATGTTGTACATTCTACAGATTTGGATAAATGTATAATGACTTGTATCCACCATATAGTATCATTCAGGGTAGGCTCTTGTCTATTTAAATCAAAGCCCATATTCTTAACCTTAATACTATAAAAGCTCCCAAGGTACCACACTGTCTGGTTAACAAAGGGAAAAATGTAATTGGCATACTA